GACGAATATTTATTTTTGAGCTTGTTCCTCAATAAAACTAGCAGTTCATTCGGCAAGCACGGCATTACGTTACTTATATTAGGAACAGTTTATTTCTGAGTTCAAGTGGAGCATTTTTGAAACATTTTTTGAAAAGGTTAGATACAATGTCCGGATCTTCCACTCTCTCATGATTGTGACAAATTGTAATAATTTTTTGTTCATTTTTATGTCTATTATTCAATTCAGATATTACTTTCCAGGCAGTTTACCAGGATTGTCAGAATTTGTTTTCTGAATATTGTTTTGATAAGAAAGTTTTTTTTCGCTCTAAAAGCAGAAAATTGCGTTTTTTTGATTCTCTATAGACATCTGCTAACTCGTGATACTTATTTTTTAATATGAAGAGGTCTTTAAGATTCGTACTGGATGATTTCACGACCTTCTCAACCCATTTCTTATCATCCAGTTTACAACACACCCGCCGTAACGGAAAATTGACATCTTCCAATTGAGGAAGACCTCTATGAGCAATTAGATGGCATGGTGATGAGAATAAACCTTTTCCTAGACTAATTGAGGGTTCAACACTTCAGCATCAGGTTTACCATGGAGACTGAACAGGACCAGAGGCATCGAGCGATGTGGTGTTAGACTAACCCACAAAGTGTAATGAAAACCTTTGCATACGGATAAGTACCTGCTCGCACTATCAAACCACTATCCTAGTCAAAAGAGAAGAGTCATCTCTACTCTACCTGAAAGGGCTCGAAAAATATCTGAACCAAAGCATCTAGTGGAAGAACTGGAATAGTTTCAAGTGACATTGAGATTAAATGAATACAGTGTACCAAAGATGAACAAAGCCATGAAACTGAAGATATCCACGAGGGGGGAGGCTCAGAAGGTTGCATGTGTTTATCTACCATATATCCCCAGGGTCACAGACAGAATTGTAAAACTTTTGGAGAAACAGAACAAGAAGATACAACAAAGCCTAAGGTTGACTAAAGACAAAAGAAACCCACTATTAGCAGCAGGGGTATATCACATACCGTGCACAAGATCCATGGGTACAAGGTTGAAGGGAAGTAGAAGAAACTGCAGACCATGCCGAACATAATAAGGGACACGCACTCAGTGATGGAAACCAGAAGGTTTTTGTTTGACAACACGAAACTCTTTGCCTCCAACCAGGAATACCATAGCCGACTGGTACGTGACGCAATATAGATCCACAAACAGAAAAATAGAGGAAGAAGAAACTGTGAACCTCAACCAAACATGAAATTCCATTGTAAGAAGTTCAAGAATAAGAAACATCATGACGGCAGGTAAAAAACGGTCGACGAATGTTATTAACAATTTACCTAATCCAAGTGCAAGAGTTAGCACTCCAAACTACCTGAATCAATATAAATATGCTTTAAGCAGTCCCGCCAGCAAAACATCAGGAAGGAATTCCAGAAACCTACGACCTCATAACCCGAAAAAAATAGTGATTAGAGTTTCATAATTTCATTTTCTGATAGATACGATGGATTTGATATCAAAAGAAAATAAATAAATACAGTATAGATATTTCTAGGACGGATCTTAATGACTCCTCAAGAGGATTCATTAAGATCCTAAATGATGATAAATTNCTGTGTATCCAATTATTTTCCCAACGCTGTCCAAATTGAATAATTCATTTATATATTTCATTTAAATATTATTGAATAGTGGCACAAAGATTCTATGTGAAAGGTAGAACTGAAACATGTAACAACTTGAAACCTTTTTAATAAACCAGATCTTATAATACTCCTACAGGCGCTTCATCCATCAATCAAGTTATTTGTGTCGAACTTGGTGAAATGTGCGTCGAGAAAAATGTTGCAGTTCTGGTGTGAGAAAGTAGTGTTTTTGTTGGACCGGTCTATAAAAAAACTATCAAATATTCTATAATGAACTCAAGAATTACTTGTCTTCAATAATTACACATAATTTTGTAAATTTCAGAATATGTTAATGGGCTACGAGAAGGATCACAATACACTTGGAGCTGTAAAACTTACCCCTTCAATTACTAGCATGTGCAGATTGGTCCATCAAGTTTGAATTTGAATATCGCCCAGTGGCGTAGCTTAGTGGGAGCGGAGGGGGCAGCCCGCCCCGAGCGTCACTTTTTAGGGGGCGGTAAAATTTCACAGAAAAGAGCACAAAATTATTCATTACTTGTTCCGTGACGAATTCGGGGAATCCCCTTTCTTTGAATGATATTTTGTAGCGATGTAGCGAATGGTAACACTATCTATTTCTATATTGACTTCGGGGATTTCCCCTATTTTATTTCGTGCTTGGATTGTTTATGACTTATAATCAGCGAGAATGACTTATATCACATATATTTATCAAGTTCAATATACGTCTCTTTGAAAAGGTACGTGAAGCTCTGAAAATTCAGACAACACTAAATGTAATCTAGACGACGCTTCTGTTAAAATTAACGAGCAGGATTTCAAGTTGGAACAACAGGCAATGAAAATAAATTAATTAATATAGACTCACTTGAATTATTGAAGTTTATCGTAAAATATTAACTGGAAGATACTTTGCCCAATATTTTATTTATATTTTTCACAGTTGCCATCAGAAATGCTAACTGTGAGAGAAGTTTTTCGAAATTGAAATTCATTAAAAATTATTCAACGTAGACGATGAGTACTCTAAAACTAACAAATTTGGCTATCTTGTCTATTGAACAAGAGGTGTGTAATGCTATAGACATTGATGGTGCAATGCAACATTTTGCTCTTAAAAAAAGTAGACGTATACATTTCAAATTAGAACNGAAAAAATATCTGACGATGACCGGGAAAAATGTACGCTTGACAGTAGGATTCTGACTGGCCACTGTCAACTAAGGAAACACCTACATAATATGGGGCTAGTAGACACACCTCTATGCAGGATGTGTGAACAGGAAGATGAGACTGTCAGGCGAGTGCCTGGAGTTATCATCAATAAGAGAGTGTGTGTTTGGCGAGTCTTGGCCTACGCCTGCCGATATAAAGGAGATGTCTCCAAGTGGCCTGTCCACCTTCCTGGAAAGGACAAGATAGACGATGACCTAGGAGGGCAACTCCTCGGGTGGGTGTACAATGGGTCACATGTTGCCTAAATGCTATGGACTCACACTTACTCTTCCTACTCTACAGATACAGAAGTGGTATATTCTTAAAGTTATGCGCCATTTGCGGAAAGCAATAAGAAGAAAACGTGGAGAAACAATTAATGTCTTCTGCATCACGATAATACACCTGCTCACTCGCCATTTCTTGTTCGTATTGTTTTCGCCAAAACAACTCCATAAGCACGTCTCAGTCAACGTATTCGGAGATTGAGGAGATGAAAATCGAATCGCTTAGAGAGTTCAAGGACATACTAAAAAGTGCATATTAGAACTGCTTCGGGGATTGGAAACACCGCAGGCACAAGGCTATTATATCTAAGGGGCTACTTTGAAGCGGACAAAATAGAAACTACTGAATAAATAAATATTTTTAGAAAAAAATGAAAATTCAACTATTTTTTTGGACAGACAGCGTGAAAAATATTCATTTGATAATCATCAGTTCACCAAAACTCTCAAGAATCAATTACGCTTGTGTGATCGATTGGACCTCTTCCCCATTTAAATTATTTTGTCAAAAACCTACGACCGGCACTCTTTATGAAGAAATAATGAAGAGATCCTAAAAGTTCTAAACTCCTATTCACAGAGTTGCTCAGTACACTTAAAGAGACACTGCTTGACAATGTCAAATTGGTACATTAATTTTCAATGGTATTAACATTTGGGAATGAACTGATATTAGGTGTAACATTTTTTTGTACTTAAAGATCTGTACATCTTCGATCATCTTCGAGCATATTATATCACTAATGATGCACTGTTTGGAACCTTTGGTGTAGTAATAAATATTACTGGAGTTTTGGCCCAACACCAAATCGTTATTTTCAACAGCTCGACACGTCTCTTGATCACCAATTGATGATCTTCAAGAGGAAGATCAAATTAATCCTATTTACAAAGTTTTCCTCATTTATATCAAGGGCACCTCTTCTAGGTACCTGAATCTTGATTGTCTTAAATTAATTTCACAATATTGCCTTATCTAATAGTCTTAAATTAATTTTACAATGTGTCCTGATGCAATAGTCAGGTGAATCTGATGAATGAAATATCAATCTAACAAGCTTTATAGTGAATGAATGAATGAATGAAAGTTTATTGGCTACCTTACATTACATAATGTTTGTAGTAAGTCCAAATAATATCTAAAAAGAGAGTTGCTTATCATATTTTGCAACAAAACCATTCGATAGACTCCAGTTCATTAAGAGTAGTTAGACAAGTTAACAACATCTAGATGCATATGAGAGTGTATAAATAAGTAAACATAATTATATATGAATAACGATGGTGGATCAATACCTGATAGTATACTATACAGCTAGTTAAAGTGATATTTTAATTGTTAGATTCACCTATTACATAAGGAGACATTGTGAAATTGATTTGAGACTAGTAAATAAGGCAATATTGTGAAATTGATTCAAGACACTCAAGACGCTGTGGTATACATAAGTAAAACTTTGTAAATAGGATCAGTTAGATATTTCTCTTGAAGATGATCACTTGGTGATCGAAACACGTGTTGAGGTGTTGAAATAACGGTTAATATTGAAGATCTGAATGAAATACGAGCGACATATTTTGATTCTTGCTCAATCTATCAACATGTGTACAAATTTGAATCGATCTCATTTTTCGCGTGGAAGTTTTTTGACAAATCAAAAGCGAATCTGTTCAAACTCGAGGGTTTCTATACATCTTTCATCGCCCCATCGATGAAATGTTCAAACACAATACCAATGGAGTCCTTATTCAATTTCCTCAAATATACTCATCACAAAACTCAAATGATTAATTGTGTTCACTCAATATAATCAGAAGGAACAAATAAACATACCTTGTATTTTTGTTCTGACTTTCGAATTTTATCATAGAGTTTGGCATGATGGAGGGCCAATCCAGAGTAAACCGCGAATGTTTCAAAAGCTTCCTCATCATTTTTCGTGAAATTTCCTTTATGTTTGTTAACCATCTGAACCACTCCTATGATAGATCCTCTGATGAAAATTGGCATACAAAGGATAGTATGAGTGGTATATCCTGAAAAAAAATGATGAATTAAATATCCAACAAGAAGGGAAGCCATTTTTTTAGTATATGGTATAAGGGAAGTGAATTTATGATGAAATTGCGAAGATGCACCGCAATACTGAAAAAAGAAATATCACGTTTTATTTTGAGTGATACCACGAATTACTAGGAAAATCACACTAAATACTGATTTGCTAATCAGGCTACAACATAAAAACATTGATCCAAGGGATGCGATGGTTTTTTTTGGTAAAGTTTCATAAATGATAAAGGTTTTTGTGGCCGAGGTTTTCAGTGTCACTAACTTCATTTTTTATTTCTCATGATTGGATGTTTCGACCGCGTGAAGCTCTCACGGGAATCAAATCAAATTAAAGGAGAAGGAAATCCACAACGAATTGCCATTCTTAGACGTTTTAAACTAGTGAAATTCATCATGAAACATTGTCAATCACCTTCAAATAAATCAATTTCATTTCTTTGCGACAATATATAATTGTATAAGAACAGTCAGGTAAATAAGATGCAATGAAATATATAGGTACGTATGTACAGCACAGAGCCAGGTATATAATATAGTATATACAAGTGTAAGTGAATATAAATTATCACATATAAGATGACTAATCAGGTATATGGTTGGTTAGTTGTTTGAAAGTAGTCATTCATGGAATATAAAAATTTTTCAACTAAATAGAGTTTTAAATATTTCTTGAATGTATTCTCACGTTCCAGACCTTTGAGGGTATCAGGTAATTTATTGAAAATTTTCACTCCGATTCTACTTGGAGCTTTATAATATGTAACATTGACCCTGGACAGTGGGAGTCGCAGATCATTGTTACGATGGGTGTTATAAGAGTGGAAGTCTCCATTGCATAAAAAAGAATGCTCATTTTTGAAAACGAATACACAAATTTCCAACATATACAGACCCTTACAGGTGAGATTGTTGTAATTTTTGAAGAGATTACGACATGAGTAGTCACTTGACACCAGCTATATATCTTCTGATTTTTTTTTTGAGAAATAAAAACTTTCTGCGAGTGAGAAGAGTCTCCCCACAAACACGTTGCATACCTGAGCCGATCTTCCACTTGTGCATATTATAAATTTATCAGTTGCTGTAGAGTCAATACGTGTTTAAGATTTCCAAACATATAGTAGATCGATGAGAGCTTACAGCACAAAAACTGACAGTGTTCTTTCCAGTCCAAGCGGGAATCAATGAAAATACCGAGAAATTTACAGTCTTCATGGACGGATAACTGGGTGTTATTCAGGAATATATCTAAATTTTCATTTTCCTTCTTTGTTGGATGGAAAAGTATTAAATTTGTTTTTTCAACGTTGAAATACAGACGAATTTCATTAAACCAAGCAACTAGTTGTTTCAAGGTAGATTAACAAGTTTCTTTTAAGGTATCGAGACTTTTGTGAGATATAAGTAAAGAGGTATCATCAGCATAAATTGTAAGTCCTACGTTTGGAAACAATTTCGTTATTTCATTATTGTATGAAATGAAGAGAACCGGGCCTAAGACAGAGCCCTGCTGGACACCCATATCAATTCGAACCTCAGAAGATTCGATGTCCTGAAGCGAGTAGTTACTAAAATATTTGAAACTGACAAACTGTGAACGGTATTTAACCGGTAGGTGTTTGTTTCCAACTGAGACAAACACCTCTAATACCATAATTGTATAACTTCGATTTGAGAATATCATGATCAGCACAGTTGGAAGCTCGACTCAGGTCACAGAAAATGCCGTAAGGAATCTCTCTTCGATAAATGCGGTCTAGTAGATCGTTAAAATAGTGATTAATAGCAGTTGTAGTTGATTTTTCTCTTCGAAAACCGTGTTGGCTGCTAATTAAAATGTTAAATTCATTCAAAAAGGCAATGACTCTTTCTAAGTAACAATATTCGAAAACTTTTGAGAAGCTGCTGGAAATTGTTATAGGTCTATAATTTTCCAAGTTCTCTGGGCATTTTTTTATATACAGGTATAACTCTCCCGATTTTGAGATCAGAAGGAAATTTGCCGGTTTTGAAAGAGAGATTCACCAAAAATGTTAAAGGCTCAATCACAATGCTAACAATTTTTCTCAGAATGAAAAAAAATAGTGATTAGAGTTTCATAATTTCATTTTCTGATAGATACGATGGATTTGATATCAAAAGAAAATAAATAAATACAGTATAGATATTTCTAGGACGGATCTTAATGACTCCTCAAGAGGATTCATTAAGATCCTAAATGATGATAAATTCTGATGTGTCTGCAGAACGAAAAAACTCGTCTCGACTAGGATCAAGGAGAGAACAGAAAATCAAAGAGACCATTGAACAGAATGGATACTCGAAAAAGCTTATGGAAAAGATATTGGTCAGAAGATGAGGAAAGCTTCACAAAAAAGAAGAATAAAAGCCATTTTCACATCAATCTGATTCTGAAAATATAAATTTGATATTTAGAGACTTGAACGTAATTTTTTTCATATTTCTTTTCAAATTCGAAATTTCTTTCAACAATCTCTCATAACAATCCGAATCTATTATCATTTTTCGATAATAGAAATTTGATTCTTCAATATTCTATAAGCATATGAATATTGTAATATTGAAGAAGATCTCTTTCATGAATATTATTATATTTTCCTAGATAATTCTCCCAACCCCGTAAAGACTCGCCTGTTAGCTGATCAACTGCACGATTGAATCTCGGATCAGCATAAGCATCCTTGATGTTTAAAATTTCTCCCGTGGACGCTACGTGACCAGCGATGCCAGTTCCTAAAGGAAATCTTATCTCTCTCGAAGTATATAGTTTCAGTTCTTCGCTTTCTGAAACACAGCTATCGAACGATATTTCATCACTATTATCAACTGCATCTACCCCTACATCAAAAATGGTGGCATACAGTTCGGCGTTCTTCGAATCTACCAAGAACAGAGATGCTCTGTCTGCATCGACTAGTTTCTGGGCGAAATTCATTATCTTTATCACAAGGGAGTCAATGCTGACCATGTTCTGGAAAATTGACCTGCAAAAGGTGAAATGTATGTAAAGTGAAACTAATTAGAGTTAGGGTTTTCATTGAGGGATTATAAAAACTTCAATGGGAGGATTATACATCAAACTTTTACTTTATATACTACTTCACTTCAGAATTGTCAAAAAGTGAACCAACGGAAGTATCACTAAACCACACTCTTACTTTGGAGTGTGATGAATGAATGCTTTCGTTGATTTGTGTAGTGACGTGTATTTATATCGAATGCTCATATCGAGAATTCTCCAATGTTTTTCCAAATAATGCATTATACAGCAGTATTCAGGGCAATTTGGCAATCAGCTAACAGCTAATAACAAAGACTCTGAGCTCAAAAAATCGCTAATCGAATGTACGTAGCCCCTGAAATTTGAAAATTCACCTATGCTACTATATCAATCCATCTTACTTCACAACAGCAAGAAGAAAATCGTTCAGGGTTTTTTGTTGATTCATATTGAGGTATAGTTGAGCATAATGTAGTCCTATTCCACCCCACACCAAATAACTGGAGGCGATTTCTTCATCTTCCTCATGGAACGGGCCTCCACTTTCCCTACGCCATAGCTCTAAAATGGCTGGTAGCTGCCCATCAGATTCTACTATTGGTTGACACTGGATATGTGCCGCATACTGAACATATATGCGTATTATATAATAATAATAACTTTATTCACAACGTATACAGGTAGAACTGGAACATGTAACAATTTCAAACCTTTTTAACAAACCAGAGCTTATACTACTCCTACAGGCGCTTCATTCATCAATCAAGTTATTTGTGTCGAACTTGGTGAAATGTGCGTCGAGAAAAATGTTGCAGTTCTGGTGTGAGAAGCAGTGTTTTTGTTGGACCGGTCTATAAAAAAACTATCAAATATTCTATAATGAATTCAAGAATTCCTTGTCCAATAATTACACATAATTTTGTAAATTTCAGAATATGTTAATGGGCTACGTGAAGGATCACAATACACTTGGAGCTGTAAGATTTATACCTTCAATTACTAGCATGTGCAGATTGGTCCATCAAGTTCGAATTTGAAAATCGACCAGTGGCGTAGCGTAGTGGGGGCGAAGGGGGCGGCCCGCCCCGAGCGTCACTTTTTAGGGGGCGGTAAAATTTCACAGTAAATAATAAAATATATTTTGTAAATATTTGAACCATTTCATATTTTGACGGCAAATATAAATTCGGACCGATTGAAAAGAGCACGGAATTATTTATTACTTGTTCTGTGACGATTTCGGGGAATCCCCTTTCTTTGAATGATATTTTGTAGCGATGTAGCGAAATTACAAAAATCCACAGCTTTTGAACCTGGATAAAAGAGGCACTGAAAACCTCGGTGGCGAAAGCCTCAACTATTTTGTCATATTGTATCACATTACTGGAGTTTTTTCTTCAACACCAAACCGTTATTTTAACACGTGTTTCGATCACCAAGTGATCATCTTCAAGAGGAAGAGGAAGAAAGTTTGATCCTCATTTTGAAGATGATCACTTGGTGATCAAAACGTGTCGAGGTGTTGAACTAACGATTTGGTGTTGGGAAAATCTCCAGTAATATTCATTACTACACCGTGTTAGGAATCACACGTTAAAAGGTAAGACCTCGTTAGTCCTTAGCTCACACAAGTTTCTCAACTTCTGAGAGTTGACGTTCGTATGGGGGCGACAGCTGATTAACGGAAAAACAGATTTTAAACAGATTTTTTAAACACCAAAGGTTCCAAACAGTGCCTCACATATTGTATCATTCCTGAATTTTGTTGTCGATAACGTATGTCAATAATCACTTACTCGAACTTTATGGAAAATTGATTGCATTTACGTGACGTTTGGGAACATCCCAATTTATGTTTTCCTCGAGTTTTGGAGTGTCTCCTTGAACAAATAGTGTCACATCGAATATTTATATTTGTTGCATTTGTCAATGGCTAATATACGTTACTGAGAGTCCACATCACCGGCAAAAAAAGAAGAAGTAGAGATGTCAATTTTAAATTTGAAATAACCGTCAGTTAAAAAGTTTCTTGATGTAATTAACATTGTTTGCATACTTAAAAATAAGAATTATATACTGTTGTTTCGACTTACAAGTTGGGATTTCAAGATCAAAAATTGATGATGTCAGAAAGCTTTGACTACTTCAATGCACCTCAGTTTTTTGATTTCACTAAAACAGCAATGGATCAAGAAAATGAGCATGGTGATGACTATTTTGGTAAGAAGTAACTGAATCAGTTATATTATTGTTTTCCATATGTGACTGGTTTTGTAGATTTGGATCATGAGAATTCAGTAGACCCTCTAGGAGATGGAAACCACTTGAAGGATACATCAGTAACAAGTGAGATATTGTTGAATAATTTCTTTTGTTGTTTTCATTACTTATGGATTTGAGTCCAGTTTTTTCAATAGCAAATGTTGCAAAATATAGATTCCTACTCTTTTACTCCAAAACATGCAATTCTTCCAAAAGATGAACATGCCGTATATTTGTTGATATGCCTCTAAACTATAAAACATCATAGTAATGATTCGCCCAATACATAATTTTATTTGTTCAATTCATGGCAAAAGGTGAATAACATTCTCTTGTAAGATCATTCTCTGTTTAGAACAGTGTGTTTCAATACAATTGATCACAGTTACTTAGCGGTTATCGACTGACAGGTACAAATTTTTCTCATATCTGAATATTTTGGAGCTATTCTAGTATGCAAACTGTTATCTAATGTTCATTTCAGTGGGAAAGGTAAATATGTAATGAAAATGAACAAGGTACAATCCAAAATACAGATAAGTTGGTTGCATGCAACCTAATTGTACTATATTTACCCCAATAAAAAAGAAAGAATGAGTCATATTCAGTGATGGTTTCATTTTCATAACTTTTTTGTCTCTCTTATTTACAAAATGTAGGTCTTCAATGGTTCAAGTGATATCAAAATAGTTTTTGTAGTACTTCCTGTTTTACAATATTTCTGCAAAAACGTTCCCTTCTGCAAACTTTTATCTGAAGTTGCCACAACTTCAGATAAAACACAACTTCAACCAAGTTGATAATGCCAACTTGGTTGATAATGCCAACTTGGTTGATAATGCCACATTTATTCTCCACACTTTGAAAGTTATCCTTGAATATTTCATTTTCAGTTATTAGTATTGTATGTTCAACCCAAAATAATCATTTATGTTGAGTGAAGAATAATGGAAGTCTTCAAAAGAACCTTCATGATATTTGATTTTTCAGATGACGATGTTGAAAATAACAAGTATTTCAGAAGATCAATGAGTGTGAATGATTTGAATTGTTTGAAGGATGCATTGGAAAGCGCGGAAACTGAAAAAAATTTAAGGTTGGTTCAAGATCTTCAAAAATAACTACCTATATAAGTCATTATTTAAGAAACATCACATATATTTTCATTTCCACATCAATGTACTTTTCAGAAAGCAATTTGTACAGACTAACGAAAATGTTTCGAAAACCAATATGAAAAAATTTGGGTCATTTTCGTCTCTAAATGAACAAGATCAGCGTTCTTCCGAAATAAAAAATCATTCTACAAGATCTATATCTAGGGTGAGTTTCTTCTATTTGTACCTCTTTATTGAATGATCTGAACTTTTATCATATTTTCAAAAAATGATAAGTAAATAATATGTTTTTCAATGCTCTCAGTGAAAAGGTACAATGGATTCAGTAGTTCATTTTACACACAAATATCATGTTTTGCTGGGAAAATACTGTGAAGTACTTGAAATTGTTAAGACAACTAAGTATGATCATTGAAAAATTTGTGATTTGCTTTCTTGTGATAAACTTCGAAACATCAAAATTCCACATTGATAGCAGGACAAACAAAGAAGTCAGAGGCAACTGTCAGATATGTGAATTCTACATATTAAAATCTTCAAGATAAATCATAATATATATTTCAGATATATTTTTTTCCCAGCATTGTGAGATTGACTACTCAGTTTTCTTTATATTCATCACCATATCTCATGCACTATTGTCACTAACAATTTGTTCCACATCTCTCTTACAGCATGATTTTGCTAAATGCGGCAATAATATTACCTACTTATGAAACCTCAAACGACTTTTGTTAAGTTGTATTAGTTATAATATGGTGGTAATCGTAATGCCAGACGTCCATATTCATGAATAATGTGACTGATTATGTACGCTTTATTTTTATCATATCGTTAACGTAGATGATATTCTCGATTTGTGAGCATCATTTGGGAAGTCAATTTTTTTTCAGACAATCGATCATCTTCTAATCTTTTTTCCATTTAGTTCTAGATATTTATTTATGATTTTCAAATGATAGGGTGCATTATCTAGGATAATCACCAAGTAAGACTCAGATATTTTTCCTCTAATCTCTTTTTGTGTTCATGTAAGTTGGTAATCTGCAAATTTGGACTCACTTGAAGAAAATACCTCTGCACCTTTGTGCTAGAATGTTACTGAATAGATTTGCCCTCTTATCCTTAGAAAACAGAAGAACATATTATGCCTGTATCTTCATATATAAATTAATTAATAATCTGGTTGACTGCCCAAAATCGTTATCTCAACTAGGTTTTCACGTACCGAGACGAAGTAGTAGAAATGAAATATTTTTCTGTTTGCCTGTAAAATTCATAATAGTTTCTATTCAGAATGTGATATTTTTGTTGTTCCATNAACTTGGTTGATAATGCCACATTTATTCTCCACACTTTGAAAGTTATCCTTGAATATTTCATTTTCAGTTATTAGTATTGTATGTTCAACCCAAAATAATCATTTATGTTGAGTGAAGAATAATGGAAGTCTTCAAAAGAACCTTCATGATATTTGATTTTTCAGATGACGATGTTGAAAATAACAAGTATTTCAGAAGATCAATGAGTGTGAATGATTTGAATTGTTTGAAGGATGCATTGGAAAGCGTGGAAACTGAAAAAAATTTAAGGTTGGTTCAAGATCTTCAAAAATAACTACCTATATAAGTCATTATTTAAGAAACATCACATATATTTTCATTTCCACATCAATGTACTTTTCAGAAAGCAGTTTGTACAGACTAACGAAAATGTTTCGAAAACCAATATGAAAAAATTTGGGTCATTTTCGTCTCTAAATGAACAAGATCAGCGTTCTTCCGAAATAAAAAATCATTCTACAAGATCTATATCAAGGGTGAGTTTCTTCTATTTGTACCTCTTTATTGAATGATCTGAACTTTTATCATATTTTCAAAAAATGATAAGTAAATAATATGTTTTTCAATGCTCTCAGTGAAAAGGTACAAACTGTTATATATCAGATATTACTCATTATTACTTATGATATTCTTTTCAATTCCAACATTTTTGATAACATCCGATAAATTAGGTTTTCTCAATTGAAATCAATTATTACTAGACAATTTTTCCCAAGATATGCTTAATATTTTCTAAGACCATAATTTATGATTAAATCCACCTTTTTGTGCCAATAAACGGGGTTTATTTTCAGAGATACTAACTTTTTGGGAAAGAAAGATATTGACTTTCTACTTCTTCATCTTTACACAAAAAAGAAAGGAAGAAAGCAATGAATTTCAAAAAATAAACTCGTTACAAAGATTTGTAAATTATGTAAAGAAGTAACTTTGAAACACAAACTGGGAAAAAGCCCTCTCGAAACAACTACTTCCATATAAACATTGAATTACACG